AAATAAAGAAAAACTTGAGGGTATAGCTCAGTGGTAGAGCACTTGCCAAGGATTTGCAAGGCCCTAGGTCTTATCCCTAGCTAACCACAAAAAATTTAAATTAAAATAAGGAAAAGGTAGCTTGATTTCTGCAGTGAAAGGTACATGCGCCTGGAATGCTCTGCTAGAAGCCAGCTCCGTCTCGTTCACCTGGGCCGCAGAGTGCTCCGGGAGGAACACCCTCACCGTCACAGTGCGTCCTGAGAGCCTGGGACCAGGCACTGGCGGCTTCAACGAGAGGAACCCAGATTCCGGGGTCTCCATGAATGCTTCACAGCCACAGTGCCCCCTCTGCAGAGGGACAAAGAGGAAGGTGGCCAGAGCCTCAAACAGAGCCACCCCCCTGGGCACTGGTGAGTGGAGTTGGAGGCAGCTCTGTTTCTGGAGTGGCCACTGTGCCGGGTGGGGGAGTAGCTCACTGGTGTCTGAAGGATGCGCCTGGGCACAGGGAGGGGGAGGCTTTGATTTCAAAAGAAGGAAAAAAGGATGGGCGAGAGAGAGAGTGGGGAAACAGAGAGACAGAGAAAAGGAGACAAGAGAGCGAGGGAATCACAAGGATAAACCCACAGCATTCTCTGGAAAAAGGACAGCTAACCACTGGCCAGCAGGACTGACCGTGAGGATCAGCATCTTGCTTTTAATCCCTTCCTCGCATTTTATTTTCTCTGATTACTGTGTAATTGAATGTAGAAGGATTTGAGCAATCAGAGACGTAGTCTCTTCTGCAGCTAAAGCTGCACGGAACGTTTTCACATTGCGCTCAAACGTAATAAAATACTGACCCTCGCTGGGATGTTTGTACAACTGTGTTTTTGTCTGCCTGCCTTCTTTGTGCTTGTCTCTATCGATGTACTTATGTTCCCCGGCATCAATATTTATTAGAGGTGTTAAGCTATTAGTGGGCATGGTGTGATTGCCTAATTTTGTAGAGCATTCAGTTTGAACACAGAGGCTCTAAATAAATGCTTCCTCGTGATGGTAATGATAATGATCCTTGCGGCAGCATTGAGTCTTATAAACTGGAACTTGAGTTGGAGTGAACTAACATCAAAGATCTCAGGGGGGTGAAACCTCGGCCCTAGATGGCCAGTCATACCAGTCTCCTTACTCCTGGTGTGAGTGTGCTTCTTTATGATTCCAGTCTGGTTCTGGGACCACTTCTCTATAAAGCCTTCCTGAGTTCCCCCCACTCCAAACTTGCACCCTTCTGGACAGCGTAATTCTCTTGAAAATTCACAGCGTGTTGTACATGACATTGCCCATCTTGTTACGCATGTGTGTGTGTGTGTGTGTGTGTGTGTGTGTGTGTTAACAATAGGAGCCAACATTTTGCTGGTGCTGGTGGCACACACGTGTAAGCCCAGTTAGCAGGGAGATTGAGGGAGAAGGGTTAGAACTTTGAAGCCAGCCTAGGGCAATTAGCAAGATCCTGTCTCAAAATACAATTTTAAAATGTAAAAAAAAAAGGGGGCTGGGCGCTGTTCAGTGCTGCAGCGCTTGCCCACTGTGCGCAAGCCCTAGGTCCGATTCCCAGGGCTAAGGGGGAAAAACTCAGCCATTTCCTGAGTGCTTCCTTTAAGACAGGTGCTGAGCTAAAATGTGTGTGCCTGGTCCATCTCCCCTGCTAAATACTAAATAAACTCCTTGCGGGCAAGGGCCGTGTGTGCAACTTGTTTCTATGCCCCCCAAGAGAGCTTAGAATGGTACCGGGCACTCAGTAGGCATTCGGTACCTATTTCTTGGCTGGTAAGACTCAGTAGCGCCCCCTTCAGGAGGAGCGCAGAGTGAATGATACTGAAATCAAACGCATTTGTGAGCGTTTTTTGCTGCCTGCTCTGTGGGATGTAGCTAACCTGGGTTGTTAGTGATTAATGAATCATGGGTTGCGGCCAGAAGAGCACAGGGCTGTACACCAGGAGACCCAAATGACACCTCTTTCTGTCACCAGGTCACGGCAGCACCTCAGCCAATCTGTTTCCCTAACTGGACTTTAATATCCTCAAAAATAGGACGTGGGTTAAATGTCTCTAAGCTTCCTTCTAACCCTAGCTATCACAATTCTACAACTCTATTTCACAAATACGTGCATCTCTTATTTGTGACATAACCCAAATAAAGTCAGTAATAAAATATGAAAAAATTGGGTGCCGAGATCATTTGCACTTTCTAAGGGCGCTCGATTCAATAAATTCCACCCCTGTACGGAGCCTGCTTCTCCAGGGCGGCGGAAGATTCCAGGCTGTCAGTGGAGCAAACCAAGCAGTCTCTCCCCGTAATTGTATTGACAGGATATCAGCTGAGTTCCGAAGGCAGGAGGGTGCCCCCTGACAGGCTTCGTGAAGGCGCCTTTAAGGCTATTGTTGCAGGAGTCTGTGTTGAGTCACAGGATTCTGGGGAAATGCGAATCAAGCAGGAGGAAGCTAGGTTTTTCTCTATTTCATTTCACCTCTCCCAGAGAGTCACACTGGGGGGAAATCTGGCTACCTGCACATCACTTTATACACTACAGGAGAAGCCCTTTCTAATGAAAACCATCTGCAACTTTCTGTGGCCACGGAAGCCACTATCCTGACTCAATTAGGTCCCCCTGGATAGCCAGTTGGCTTGGTTTTAAATGAAGCAACTAGTCATTGCGTGTCTGTGGATGAAATACCTGTTTGAATGTCTGCGTTTTTCTGCTGTTCTCTCGGTTACTGTGGCATCTTGCAGACACGCTCCATCATGTCTCAGGTACACATCATGATCACTGATGTGTACATTTTCTGGCAAATTCCATGGGTGGAAAATACTAGCGCTGGTTTGTTCAGTCAGTGTCTCTGCATTTTCCATGAAAAAATGCTGACCCCATCCACTGGAGAAAACAGTCTAAGCATCAACCCCACATATGATGGCATAGAGGACTATTTCTAAAGTGCTATATTCCTCCAATAGAGATGCATTGCTTCAGGCTGTGTAGACAAAATGAAAACACACTTCCCTCCCAATCATCCTCCCAAAGACATCCAGGGTAGAGGGCTTGCTGGGACTCTGACACACACATCAGTTCAGGACCTGAAAGTCTGGACCCACAAAACTGAGAAGTTACAATGAAGATATCAACAAGCTCAGTGGAAATTTCAGTAACGTTTTTTTAAAAAATGGTTAGGGCTCCACAACCTTGAATATTTTCAATGTTCCCTTTGTCCTTAAAGCCAGAACCGCTAAAGTTTCATAATGCAAATTTTCTTTATGTATAGGAAGCCGTTTAGAGCGGTTAAAATGATGGAGGGCTAGGGGGCTGTGGACGCTGCTTCTAACCCAGGTTCAGCCTGAAGCTTGAGCAAAACACCTGGCAGAGACGGCTCCCGCGGGCTCCCTGGGAGAAGGGTCCTGGGAAAGGCAGCAGTGACACTTCCTCTGCACGCTCAATTTCTCCGCCAACTTTCATCTCAGTCAGGTTTTGACAGATCTTACAGGAGTGGTAAATATTGAAATGCGGACATCATCATCTTTAGGGTTACAGAAAGTAGCTTATGCTGCTCTGAGATGCCAGGACAGAGGGAAAAGCTGCCCCCTGGCCGCCCCTGGCAGGAGAAGGACTCCCCAGGCTCAGTCACCAGAGAGCCAGGCTGGGACCTCTGCTACTGGGGTCTGTCACCAGGGACCTGCGCAGTCCTGCAGCGCCCCGAAGACAGAAGACCAGTGCTTCATCAGTCACTGCCTCGACATCTTAAATCCCTAGGTACCAAATCAGGAACCAGGGATGGAATCCGTCCTGAAAGCTAGGCAACCAGCGCCACCCAGAGGTTAAACGTTGTCCCTAATATGCGGGGTGGAGATGCGTAGGAAATTTTATGCGGAGAGCTGCAGATATTAAATTTTACACGTGTATGTGTACATGCTATACATATATATGCATGTACACGTGTGTATATAACATGTGGTAAAACAGGTATATCTCACTCGGGGGCATCACACTAAAAAAAAAACTCACTAAAAAAAAAAAAGTGAAGGCCTTGTTCTATTTTGTGAGTGTGCGCCGGCCGGGGACACTCCCTCGTCTCCAGAAACATCTTCGGGGATGGTAAGACGAGAGTCAGTGTCTTCCCAGGAAGAACCCCGCTAATTCAGTGTGAAGGAAGCCCGAGTTCCTTCCACCAACAAATCAACCAACCACTACGTCCGGGCTCCAGCAATCACATCCTTTCCGGGCACCGGCACCGCCCGTCGCGAGCCTGGAAACCCAGCGCATTTTTAAAAGCACACTGCCCTCCAGTGGCGCGAGAGAAGTTTGCTCCACGGCTCGTCCCCACAGCCAAACTTCAACCTGACTTCTAATAACCGCCCCAGGGAGGGCGAGAGGTCTCCCACGCGGAGGAAAACGAAACTAGAGTGCGGTAGCCGGCGATAAAAGGGAGGGATGTCTCTGGAAAGGATCCAGCTCGCCGCTCCTGCCGGCGCAGACTCCGAGGCTAGAGAGTCGTGCTTTTATTGTCTTTTAGGGCTGTGATTCGGATAAGAGAATGATTGAGGGGAATGAACTTCGGAAGTGATGCTTCCAGGACGTGCACAGCACCTGCTGCGCAGACTACCCCGGGGTGCAAGAGAAAGAGGCTGGCGGCCTGGACCCACCTCCCAGGGCGTAGCAGGTGGTAGGGACCTAAGACCGAGCGCGTGTGACCCATCTGTCACCCTGTGGGCTCACCAGCCAGCTCCTGGGGAGACGTGACACCCAACCTTGCGCGGTGCGAGGGGACCCCTTTCAGGACTCCCAGCACTCCCATTCCGGGGTACCATTATCCATCCCACTCCGAGAATGCAGAAACAGGCTCAGGGGGGCGACGCGACCAGCCCCGGAACGCAGAGGGGCTCAAGGCTCTCTGGACCGGAGTTTCCAACACTGTCCTCGGACCCAGGGCCATGGGCCCGGGCCGGGCCGGCGGATGTGAGGGCGCGAAGGGCGGCGGCGGCTGCGTGCTCACCTTGACGATGAGCGGGTTCTGAAACATGGAGTCGCGCACGACCCCCAGCCGCTGGTTCTCCATGCCGGGGCGGATGTCGGCCACGGTCAGGGGCCGCCGAGGTGGCGGGCAGATCTGGCTGACAGTGCGGCGCACCGGCTCCTTCTTCTTCTTCCATTGCGTGGGGTCTTTGCGGGAACTCTTGGCCTCTGGCATCCTGGAGGTCGCCCGGGAGTCAGACACCGGCTGCGTGCGGAGCCTTTTCCCGGACCTTTGCTCCCGACTCTCCCCGGGCTGCACCACTGGGACGGTAGAGTGGCCCCCAGATGCCGGCCACCAAGAGAGGAGCGCACAGGTGTCCCGACACCGCCTTGGTGCAAGGAGCCTCAAGATTATACAAATAAGCTCCGCTGGTTCGTCCGAGTATTATTTTTGTGCCCCGCACTGAGGAATGGGAGAGGAAAGAAAACTCAAAAGCACCCCCTGAGGAGGAATGGAACTGTCCGTCTCCATGACGACGGGACGCTAACAGAGCCCAAAGTATGCTATAGTCGTTTTCTTACCGAAAACTCTTGGCCACCACCAACATGGGGCTTTTCAGAATTGTTTTAAATTGACACGGTGACATCAGATTGGGTCCGAGGAAGGGTCCCATCTCCATCTTTTATTTCTAATCTCAAGCCCGTTACCCTCTACACACACACACACACACACACACACACACACACACACACACACACACACACACA